GAGAACATGATATTATATAGACGATCAGGTCGAAAATAAATAGCTAAGTCTTCCCATCTTAGACCTTACTAACTTCAATTAATATTGATTGGCTTTAAACCATCTCTCATCTGTAATGGCCATGTCTCCTCCTCTTCTTTGCTTGATATCATTCTTTAGCTTCTTTTTATTCTCATCTCATGCAACAGACACACTTGCATCTTCAGACAAATCGGGAGACAACCAAACCCTGGTCTCATCCGAGTGCGGTGATGGAGCTAATTTTTCTAAGATGACTGGTTCGCTGCCATCTACGAGTGGTGTTTCCGTTAGTAGTATTGGGATTTCTGATTGCCAAACTTTGTGCAAGACCAATTGTTCTTGTGCCGGATTCGTTTCTCTTCAGAATGAATCAACATGTCAACTTTATTATGGGAGTAAACAGAATCTATTGAAGATCATAGAGAAAGGGGGAGGGCTTATTTACTTCCGTGATCCTGCTTCAAGTGGTAAGTCTATTAAAATATATATAGATAGAAGGGGAGGGGCACATAAAATTAGGAAAAGCACATAAAACTCGGGAACTCCATTCCTTTTCTAAGGGGGAATAAGAATGAGTTCAAAATAAATGAGCATATATATAATAATAATAAAAAACTTAGAAAAGAAAATATTACAAAAAATGTATAATGATGAAATATGAAGTTGCTGTTCAATTTACTTGTCCAGGTAATAAGAAGGGGAGTCTCTGGTTAATTGTGGCGGTTCCTTTGGCTTCCCACTTGACTTTTGTTTCAATCTCTTTATATTGTTTTGTGCGTTGGAGAAGGTGGCGTAGAGGTATGCGTTTGATTTTTCGAGTTGAATTTTTTTTTTTTGGTCGAAAATCAAGTCGATTTATTAGGGGATGTGGATTCAAACTGGTAATATATTTCAATATTGAAAAGTAGAGAAGTGTCTCCGCGGCCACAAGGTGACTTGGAGGTTCAAAACCTGAGACCATTAGTTTGCAAGTCAAGACCCTTTTATACTAGGCTAAACTCCGTTATCCCTTTCATTATTATATTATCCTATAATTGTAGGCTCAATATTTAATTTATCTGATGTCACGGGCATTATATTTATGCTATCTAACGAGAATAAATTAGTATGCAAATGACGAATATGGCCTTAATGTGAAAATATCAATGATTTTTATGGTCTAATTATATTGATGTCACGACTCGACTCCCCTAGCACGATATTGTCTGCTTTGGGCCCCCCTCTCTGCCCTCACGGTTTTGTTTCTGGGAGCTCACAAGCAACTTCCCAGTGGGTCACCCATCCTGGGATTGCTTTGGCCCCCAACTCGCTTAACTTCGGAGTTCCTATGACTCCGAAGCCAGACAATCCACCATCCTGGGGGCCCAGCATCCTCGCTGGCACACTTTCGGTCAGGATCCAGCTCTGATATCATTTTGTCACGACCCGACTCCCCTAGCATGATATTGTCTGCTTTGGGCCCCCTTCTCTGCCCTCACGGTTTTGTTTTTGGGAGCTCACAAGCAACTTCTCAGTTAGTCACCCATCCTGGGATTGCTCTGGCCCCCAACTCGCTTAACTTCGGAGTTCCTAGGACTCCGAAGCCAGTGAGCTCCCAAAAGGCCTCGTGCTAGGAAGAGAAGTGCCCACACATTTAAAGCACTTCACCTTTCCCTCCTCGAGCGATGTGGGATTGCTCACCGTTCTTGTTTCCCCAAGACACGGGTCTTACAATTGAAACCTGAAGATCAAGCAACCAGACGAGAAGGAAGGCATTATCAATCCGGATCATGAAGTTAGAGGTGCAATTAACATGAATGTAGGCAGACAGAAGGATCAAGAATTGCCCTTTTTTAGTATTTCTACAATAAGGCTGCAACAAATGACTTTGCCAAGGCTAATAAACTAGGGGAAGGTGGATTTGGACCTGTCTATAAGGCAAGCCATCAGTTAACTCCCTACTTTACATGGCTCATAATGACAATTTTTATTTCTTATTACCAAAATCTTCTTAATTAAATTTTATTACTGCAACATGTATGCATTATGGAAATTGCAGGGCAAGTTGCTTCCAGACGGACAAGAAATTGCAGTGAAAAGGCTATCCAAAATTTCCAGGCAAGGGTTGAATGAGTTCAAAACGAAATTTCAGTAATTTGCAGGCTCCAGCACAGGAATTTGGTTAGGCTTTTGGCATGTTGCATTGAAGCAGAAGAAAGTATACTAATTTATGAGTACATGCCTAACAAAAGCCTGGATTCTTTCATTTTCGGTTTGTCCAATAAGATCTTCTGAGCTTATTTCGACATGTTCTGTATAGGTTTCATGTTGATCTTGTAAAACCTTTTCCCCATTTTCATTACTTTTTTTTCAATCATGTGCAGATTCAACCAAACGGGTGCTTTTGGATTGGAGAAAGCGCATGAACATTATCGAAGGGATTGCTCAAGGTCTTCCGTATCTTCATAAATACTCAAGATTACGGATCATTCACCGCGATTTGAAGACCAGTAATATTCTGTTGGACTGTGACATGAACCCAAAAATATCTGATTTTGGCATGGCACGAATTTTTGGGGATAATGACACTAGGGGCAAAGAAATCGGGTTGTAGGTACATTGTAAGTAAACTTTTCTGCAGCATCTTTTCTTCAATGTCTAGTACTTTTCTTTGGGTACAAAGATGTGCGATTAATTCATTTTTGTCTATGATTGTTAGTGGTTACATGTCTCCGGAGTACGCTGTGGATGGTCGTTTTTCTGAGAAGTCAGATGTGTTCAGCTTTGGAGTGATGTTATTTGAGATCATAAGTGGCAAAAAGAAAATATAGCCTTCTTTGAGGCTGATCGCTCCCTAAACTTGCTAGGCAACGTAAGGAACTTTAACAAACCCCTCAAAGTACATCCAATCACTTATTATATGTGTTTGTTGTTCATTGTTCCTGAAGTTTTTCAAACTTTATTGTTGCAGGCTTGAAATTTGTGGAAAGAAGGCAAGAGCATGGAGTTGATGGATTCAACGTTGAGCAGTTCTTGTTCAAGCAGTGAAGTCACCAGATGCATTCAGATGGGTCTTTTGTGTGTGCAAGAAAGAGCTATGGACCGACCAACCACGTCGGATGTTGTTTCGATGCTCAGCAATGAAACAATGGCTCTGCCTCTTCCTAAAGAACCTGCATTTTTTAGTCGATCCAGTGATGCAGAATCATCTTCAAGTAGACAAAGATGTCAATCTGGAAATTATATAACGATTTCAGAAGTAGATGGAAGGTAGCAAACTAGATATGTTGACCAAGCCTGTCTGCACAGGACCAAGTAGACAGTGAAATTAATGCTTCTTACTTCAAATAACAAACATGAGTTTTATTTTGGATTGGATTAGATAGCATCGGGACTGGACTGAGTCCTATCCTGTGTTTGGTGTAGTATGATTGAACTTTGGATAAATGTTTAATTTTTTTCAAATTAATTAATTTGTCCAGCTAAACTTAATTAGTTTATTGATTAAAATGTAACTGTGTTATATCTATTTTAATTAACAGTCATGTACCCAATCTCCACTTCCCACCAAGGCTTAGTCGAATTATTTTATTCCTAAAACTCCCACGAGTTTATATTTTATATGTTTCAAACTTTCAACGAATTATATATGTCTGGGAAGTGGAAGATCATCATATATATCTGGCTTTAGATTTAAGAAATGGGGGCTAACTTATCTGTCCTTTCAGAATAAATAACAAGCAAATTAATTCATTGTCTCTGCACCCAAGGGCGGAACCAGAAATTTTTCAATGGGTGGGCTAGCTAAAGTTATTAGCTTAAAATCTAATGATAAGTTTTTTTTGTACTTACATTTTCTATAGTTTTTCTAGAAATAAAAGTATACATTAAATCATATAAATCACATAATTGTAAACACAAGGAAAAAAATTGAAATTAGAGCCATATTATTCGTGAAAGGGTGAATTTCATTTAGAAAAATGCTTCTCTTTTGAAGACAAATTAATAGAAAAATTTTGAAATTGATATTGGGATAAACTTTGACACCAAATACAAATGTGGAAGATCTCTTACTATGTATATTGGTGCTGAAATTGTATATTTATTTATTTATTTACAGTTAAAATATAGACTATATGTATATTTAATTTGTTTTTTCTCCAAACTGTCCCTGGGCTACAGCCAAGGGCAGCCCTTGGCTTGGTTCCGCCAGTGTCTGCACCAATTTCTAACTCCGCAATATTAAGCTCTCCCTTCTCTCTCTCTCTCTTTTTTTTTTTTTTTTTTCATATACCATGAGGTGTCCACACACTTGAAGAGTGGAATTAATCCCCGCTCGAGGTTCGGCATGCTCTTGGCCACAAAGTGCTTTCAATGGGTTTCGAATCCCTGCCATTAAGGCACTAGGCAGCTCGCCAGCTGGAGGTGGCAGTTTGCCAACTGCACCACACCTTGGATTGGAAAGGATTGAGACTTTAATTTTTAAGTCAATTAATTAATTTGTCAAGCCAAAATTAATTAGTTAATTGATTCATTGATTCATTTCACACGTGGCTTATTTTTTTTATCTTCTCAGAAGGTAAGTATACAAACCACCAGCTTGCCACTTGTGGGTTTCCTTGTGTGTTGCATGTCAATTCCATTTGGTATTTATCTCCAGGAAAATGACCCAAAAAACCAAAAACAATCAAATTCATTGAGTGGTAAAATAGTTTCTTTTTTTTTTTCTTTGCAGAGACGATTTTTCAAGGAGTATCTAAAAACTAGATAAATTCAAATTATTGAAATATAATGCACGATGGACCCTACAAGAATTATTTGAGTGATCATCACTTGAAGCTCACCATGTATATATACATATATATTTCCTTTCAAAATAAATAATTGTAAATAGTTGACTAACGATGAACCTGTGCATCAATAATAATAGGCAGGAAAATATGATATTGTATGGACACAGTAGAAAATAAATAGCTAACTACCTCCTCCTCTGATCTGTAATGGCCTTGTCTCTTCGTCTTCTTTGCTTGGTATCATTCTTTAGCTTCTTTTCATCATCTCCTGCGACAGACACACTCACGCCTTCAGACATGTTGAGAGACAATCAAACCCTGGTCTCATCTGGTGGACTTTTCGAGTTTGGCTTCTTCAGCGAAAGCGTTTCAGGCTACTATTTGGGAATTTGGTTCACAGCCGATCCAAGCAACGTTGTTTGGGTTGGTAACCGCAACTTTCCCCTATTAGATTCATCCGCCCTACTTCAAATCCGGTCCGGGAATTTGGTTCTCACGGACCGGCGACAATTGCAGATCATAGTCAATTCAGCAAATGTCGTCCCGGCTACAACTAGTAATACAAGTGCAACACTTCTTGACACTGGAAATTTTGTGCTTAGAGCAGCAGATACAGGCATGGCCTAAAATTTCTAGAATAGTTCTCGGATATTTCTTTTCCGGTTTTAAACATGTTTTTTTTTAGTACATGTCCTTCGAAACTTTTATGTTATGTACTTTCTCTTGATTCTGTTAACATTACTGTTTAATACCTGTACAGGTATCATATGGCAAAGTTTTGACACTCCAAGTGATACTTATCTTCCTGGGATGAAACTTGGGACGTTTAACCTAAACACAGACCACCTAAACCTTCACGTTGTTAATTCTTGGGCAAGCCACCAAAACCCAGCTCCTGGCCTCTACACCTTATCCATCGATTCCAGCGACCTAACAAAGCTTTCGGTTTGGCGAGGAGATGGAGTCAAAATGGTAATCGCTTTCTTGGATGGATATGAGTTCCGGTTTATTTTTGAGAACTCAAACGGTAGTACTAATGATGACTACAACTTTAGCCTCCAGTCCAATAGAAATGAGGCCTTCTACACTTTCAGCAGCAGCAAGAATTACGACCTCATGTGGTTGGTGATGAATTCCACAGGAAACCTCGACCAGAATTTCATGTTGAAAGGCAAGATTTATTCTGTGAGTCATCCTTTGTGTGCGGGTTCCAATGGTGGTAATAACGGGACGTGCTTGCCTTCAATACCGTCCAAGTGTAGGGATGGAGGTGCTTTTTCTGAGATGAATGGTTCCCTGCCATCTACATCTGCTGATTCCGGTAGAAGTATTGGGATTTCTGAATGCCAAACGTTGTGCCAGGTCAATTGTTCTTGCACCGCATTTGCTTCAGTTCAGAAATTGAATGAATCAGTATGTCAACTTTATTATGGGAGTAAACAGAATCTATTGAAGATCATAGAGAAGGGGCCAGGGCTTATTTACATTCGGGATGGTGCTCCAAGTGGTAAGTCTGAATTCCACAAATCAAATATATATATATATATATATATATATATGCATATACAGAAAGATATCTCTGTGTATTTAGACAATTCATTCAGGCAAGATCAACCCCGTGAACTGCAAACACAAACAATACACACACATACAAAAACAAACAAAAAAACATTAACAAATCTTCAGTCTTGAAAATATTGGTTTTCCTTACACTCTAAAGTGAAATAAATCATTCTCACCAAAAAAAAAAAAAAGTGAAATAAATCATTGAGAGCAAAAACTTGGGATGTCGGTTTGGTGATATCAGACTCCTCTTGATATCAAGACTTTTCTTGATGTGGGAAAATGTCGTTTGAATTTTATTCCTTATCTTTGATATTATACATTTAAAAAATATATATTATTAAGGCTTTGCTAGATATATTACAGACGTTTTCTAGATATAACATAAATTAATTCAGTCGTTTTCTGTGAAGGTGTTTTAATATGTGAGACGACTTTCAACGCAACGCACCTGAAATGGTATCTGTTCAAAATTGTAGCAATATAATGCCGGCATTTCAAATATTATTAAAAATCTATCGGAGAAGATGGTATTTCCTGTTCAATAAGATTTAGGGCTTCTTAGATCTAGCTCCACAACGATTAGCTATCATTGAGTTTAGTCCTCGCGGTTTTAGTTTTAGATGCAGGTCCTTTTACATTTATTACTTTTTTGTTGTGTCAATTTTACCCTTTGAGGTAAATAAGGAAAACACATTGAAAATCTAAATTTAATACATTATTTCCTTGTAATTGAATTCCATAATTTAAATTTTGAATTCTTTCCTTCATAATATTCCTAATATATGGACAAAATACAATTTAATCAATACAAAGTAAAGACCCACAAATTATACCAATACAAGCACCCACATTAAATTATATACCTGACATACAAGTAAATAGTGTTATTATTAGTAACGAAAAATACTTAGTGATAAATCATGTTACCTATAAGTTAGGAACATAAATTAGAAAACTACCTATAAGTCAGATAAAAAAATAGAAAACTACCTATATCTCCGGTACATAAAAAAGATAAATGGTAAATCGTATGTTACCTATAACTTAGATTCATAAACAAAAAGGCAAAAAAGTGTGGTACCTATATCTCATGTATGTCAAAACACAAGTCAATTAATAACTTTTTCTTTTGTTAAAGGAATATGTTACCTATAATTTAATAATGGGCAAGGGTAAATTGGATAAGGAAAGAAATATAATATTGGCTAATTATCTCATTAAGGTAAGTAATCGAAGATAATGGGCAAGGGTAAATTGGATAAGGAAAGAAATATAATATTGGCTAATTATCTCATTAAGGTAAGTAATCGAAGATAATGGGCAAGGGTAAATTGGATAAGGAAAGAAATATAATATTGGCTAATTATCTCATTAAGGTAAGTAATCTAAGATAATGGGCAATATTGGAACAAAAAATGATTTTAAATATATAAAATAAAAAGATTACATCAGACAATATTCAAAAAGGAATGTAATCCTATGTGGCACAAAAGTCAAAGGACTTGTATCAAAGTCACCAAATCCGAGGATTAAACCCAACTTCTAGATGAGAATTTGGATCTATATCAACTTTTCTATAAGATTTAAGGCATAGCGCATGTTCACCTAGTTTCTGATAGGATGAATGAAGTGTAGGCTCTACTCAAAATCAATGGTAATGAAGGGAGTGGTACAACTCTTATAAGTCCATGTTAGGTCTCTTAGGGCTTGTTTGATAACCATTTCATTTTCAGTTTTCAGTTTTCATTCACTTTTTTTGAAAATTGAAAATTGATGAAAACATGTTTGGTAACAGATTTCGTGTTCAGTTTTCATTAAAGTGAAATCTAGTTTTCAAAATCACCCTTATTTTTTAAAACAACTTGAAAGTATTTTCAGTTTTTGTTTTCATTTTTTTGTTATAGAAGACCAAGTTTCACATAAAAATTGAAAACTGAAGAATGAAATCAGTTACCAAACAACTTGACTTTTTTTGAAAATTGAAATTGTAGTTACCAAACAAAGTTATCAAATGGGACCTTAGCTTTCCGATTTGGGACAACACTTCACTTCACATCCACAACAATTACAACATAATCTGAGGATCATGAAGGGGCACATAAAATTAGGGAATTCCATCCCTAAACTTTCTAACGGGGGATTTGGGATGCGAATGAGTTCAAAAGAAATAAGCACAAATATTGTACAAAATGATGTGGTGGTTTAATGATTAGTAAGATTGTTTTTTTTATTTAAATTTTTTTAGGGAAAACGATAATATTTTGTTGATAATGAGGAAGTAACAAGTACCAAAAAATCAATTGGCCTATAGACGAGCATCTCTACACATGAGGGTTCGATCGTCGGTCTAATCAAGTAGCCTACTCTCTTTTGGCTTAGCCATTAAAAAGAACTTTGCCCCTAATAGAGTGTGCCCCATCTCGATCCCATGCTTCTGATTAATTTTTCTCCTTCAACCTAAATAGTGTATTGTCTTTACTTGTCCAGATGGTAAGAAGCGGGAACTCTGGTTGGTTGTCGTGGGTCCTTTGGCTTCCCTTTTGGTTCTTGTTTTAATCTCGTTATCTTGTTATATGCGTTGGAGAAGGCAGCGTAAAGGTATGAGTTTGATTTATCAGTCTGATTTATTAGGGTAAGCGGTTTTGAACTCTTATCACATTTTGGTAGCACAATTTGATATCACATTATGGAGTAGGCCACATAATCAAGTCTCTTTTAATTTACTCCAAATTTGTAATTTAATCCTGTTATTATTATTATTTTTTTGGTGGGGAAAAGGGGATTTAATCTTGTTATTAATTCATTAATTATCATAGTAATTCAAACAATCAGTCCTACCATTGTAACCTTCCCAATCTTTCGTTGCCCAACACTGTCCTCCACTGCTCTCCGCCACCACTAGAGTGAAATTTTTAAATTTTCTACAAGTTTCTTATGTGTCTATTTTTTTTGGGCTTGTTTCTCTTCGAGTGTTGCAGATTGATATTTTAATTGAAAGGAAGACTATTTCAGATTCTTAGTGGTCTTTGAAATTTTGTTTGTTGTTTCGTTTTATTTCTTTGGGCGGAGCGGACTGTTAACAAACCGAGAAGCAATGCTTCTAATTTCAAATCAAAGTCCATAATTTCATCGGCTGTGTTTGGTACTGTAATCTCATCTATCTCTTTCTTGTATTCGGCATTGTTGTCTATTCGTAGATCGAAACTTCTAAAAGTCCGTTGTGTGCATTAAGATCTGCATAATGAACTTAGAACTATATGTGTAAGTATCTTACCATGAAGGAAATCTCTCTACGGGTTCATGTTGACGAAGAGGCTATGATGACGGCAGCTGTATGGTGCTGATGGCATGACAGTGATGGATGATGGTGTCAGGGTAATATTCAACGGTGGATGATGGTGTTCAAATGATTAGTGAATTAAATTATAAATTTTGAGTAAATTAAAATTGATGAAAAATAAGTACTTAAATTGAAATTAAGTGACATGACATGTCCAAATAAGGTGTCACATCATGTGGTATAGAATTGTGGTACAAAAATTGTGGTAAGATTAACATTATTATTTGAACTTGCTATACCTCTCCCAAGATTGAAAGGACAAGTACAACTAATAAATTTAAAGCTTCTGATCATTATCATTTTGAGTTGCTAAATATAGTTGTCGGAAGTTAAAAAAGTTACTGCACGTTACGATATATAGAGAGAGTAAAGTGATTAGTGGGAGAAAAAAAATCGGGGTAAATGGTCTTTTAATTAGCATTTGTGTTTTACACAAGTGATGGGAGAGAAGGGATTCAAATACAAGACCTCCAGTACATGGGTAATTGCTCTTAACTATTTGAGCCATAAGCATCTTAGTATACTAGCATGCAAGTGCCAACTGACCTTTTTTTATTTATATATATTGTCTTTTGTATTTATATTCAATTTAAAAATGACATTTTATAGTTTTTTTTTTTAGTTATATATAATATTCTTTCTTTTATTTAGTTATATACTAGTTCTTTGGCACACATGTGGTTTTTAATTTTTGCTCTTTTTTTTCACTTTAGAATTAAGGAAGAGAAAATGAGTTTGGTTGTTGTGTCTCATGAAAATAGGACCCATGTTATTATTTTAATTTTGAGATTTAAAATTTTTTTAATATGAAAAATTGTGAATTTACTATATCATCATTTTTTTTAATAACGAGTTTCAATTCTTAATAAATTTATTAACCAAAGACAATTTTTGATATTTTACTATTTTACATTCATTATATTAGATTTTCGTGTTTTAATATTTTTGTTAAGCATGGGCATTTTCATGTTTATGAATGTTTCATCGTTTGAGGCTTTTGCCTTTATATATAGACTATCGTGAAATTGTAGACTTGTTATTTTGGTTATTTATTAGGCCCAGTTTGGGATTGCTGTCATTTTTAAAAAAAAGTTGCTTATGTTAACGTTGTGTTTTGAAAATAATTAGTTGTAAAGTAAAAGCATTTACATATTTGGAAAACATTATTTTTAAAGTGATGTTAGTATAAAAAGCACTATCAAAACCGTTTGGTAAATTTTAATATGAAACTATTATAACTGTGGATAATGACTAAAATGGACATGATGTTGAAAGTGTTATGTGTTAACAATGTTGTTGTGGTGGTGGTTTTGGGGGCCCTTGTAGAGCCCACTTCGTATTGTATTTTAAGAATCCAAACCATCTATTTTATAGATATTCATTCAAAGATCATCTCTACAAAAAATCACTTGAATCTGATATTATTTGACCACCCAATTGAATTATTGAAATTTTAGTACTTACTTAAAGCATCGTGTTCATTGATGGTGGTGGAGGTGGTGGTGGTGGTGGTGGTAGAGGTGGATGTGGAGGTGGTGGTAGCGGTGGGTGGTGGTGTGGTGGTGATAGAGGTGATAGAGACGGTGGTGGTAGACGATGTCATTTAAAAAAATTAATGATGGTATTATGGGAATTGAAAAAATTCATTAAAGGCTCTTATTTGCTTCTTGTGAAAACATCTTTGAAAAGCAACCAAGAGGCTGCTTTCAGAAGGCCATTACTTTTAAAATAATCATGATATTTTATTTTTACCAAACGCCTTAAACTGCTTAACTGTAAAGTGAATCATATTTTTTGCCAAAAAAAGCAATCCCATTGTTAAAAGAAAAATGTTGATATTTCATATCTTCAAGTTGATAATGTCGGTTCCCCTAATGAAGATGTATACGTTATACTGTTACTTTATCAAGGG